ATGAGTTTCGAAAATTTAAATTGATTTTTCTGAAAAGCCATCGTTAAATCAAAGTTGGGCGTTACAGTCTTACTTTTTTGTAGTGCTTTTTTGTATTGTCTATGTTGGTTATGTGATTGTCTTTGTGTTTTAGGTATGGGCCGTTGGCCTCAGTTAGCCGTAACCTTATTATACTGTTGGGGTCGTCTTTGTGTTTTTGTTCTAGTTTTTTGTGTCCTAGTTTGTTGTGTTCCCGAGGATTACCCTGTTGAGGTCGACTCTAGGCGGTCTGTTGACTGTCCTCCCACTTTTATTCAACTATTGGTTGCTTCTATTCAGCTGGTGGCTGCTCATTTGCACATTTGTGCGTATCTATATATTGCCTATATCGTTTCGAAAAAGAAGATTAAAACTCTTTTGCAGACAATATGACCCATGCAGACAATATGACCCACAAATCGATGACAAAATTGAAAGTATGTTGAGCCCTATATAGCCGCCATTGTACGACATTCTCATTTCCAAAGCCTTATATTAGATTTGCATGAAATTCTTCACGGTATCAAAGCTTGATTTTTTTTTTTCTGCCTTTTGATTTCTTTTTCTCCTCATCTATGGATTTTACCACTCATGGGAGCTCGTGCTCAACCATCCACAATGAAACCGGAAACTAGCTTGTTTTTTCTCAGTCGCAGTTCATTACCTTTAAGCTAGAGCATTCAAATTTCCTCATTTGGAAGCATCAAATCCTTACTGCCATACGAGGTTATGGATTGGAGTCCTTTGTTTCCCCTAATTCAGCTCCTCCAGACAGATTCATTGTCCCTGAAGAAGGAAATCTTCCTATGCTCAACCCTGAGTATGAAACATGGCAGAGACAGGATCAACTTTTAGCTTCATGGATCATATCCTCTCTCAGCCAAGGTAATCTCATATTGATTGTTGGTCTTTCAAGTTCTAAAGAAATATGGGGTGCTCTAGAAAGAAACTTTTCTAGCCAATCGAGGGCTAGAATCATGCAACACAAGCTTGAACTTCAAATCATGAAAAAAGGAAATTTGACTATGAGAGATTATTTGAACAAAATGAAAACATGAAAAAGGGAAATTTGACTATGAGAGATTATTTGAACAAAATGAAAACCTGCTTTGATCTATTAGCAACTGTTGGTGAAAGGCTTAGTGAATCTGACCAAATCTTACATTTTTTAAGTGACTTGGGTCAAGTGTTTATTTCCATTATGGTAGCTGTGACTTCAAGATTTGAGCCATGGTCTTTGATTGACCTTCAGTCACTTTTTCTGAGTTATGAGTCAAGGTTGAATTTATTAACAACCAATCCTCAGCAAATCAACACAAATGGCTCTCAACCAACTCTTAATGTTGTTTCTAAAGGGCCAAACGACTCTACACAAGAGAAATTTGCAACAACATGGGCAGACAAAATTTTTCTAATAACAATTGGAGAGGAAAAGGTGACAGAAGAGGTTCTTACAGAGGACGAGGAGGCAGATTTCAACAACCAAGAGTGATATGTCAAGTTTGTGGTATACTTCCATACTGCTAAAAGATGTTGTCATAGGGTTGATCAATCATTCACTCCCAACTATGCTTCTTACCAGAACACTTTCAACAGGAACATGTCACAGCCTGCACTGAATATTGCCCAAATCCAAGACACTCTTCAAACATCTCAGAACTTGGAATGGATAGTGGGATATGGTGTCCTGACTCTGAAGCTTCCAATCATGTCACCAATGACTTTTCAAATCTGAGCATAGCAAGTGAATATCCTGGAAACAATAGGCTGCAAATGGAAGACGACATTGGTGAGCCAATCGCTTTTACTGGCAAAAGCCAAGTTAAATTTACTCTTAGCACCAGAAAATTTGTGCTGAAAAATCTCCTTCATGTTCCAAGTGTTACAAAGAACTTACTATCAGTCTCATAATATGCAAAACACAATGGTGTGTTCTTTGAATTTCACCCTAATGTTTGTTTTGTGAAGGACCAAATAACTCAAGATGTTCTACTCAAATGGAGACTTTATGAGGGGCTGTACCAATTTGACTTGCATCCAGCTGACACCAAACAAGAATTTTAGAGGAAGAAAAGTGATGAAGTAGCTCCGCTAGTGGTAGGTTTAGTTTTCTTTCCAAGAAGTAACAATTTAGAATTGTGGCACAAGAGGCTAGGCCATACTGCTTATGATGTAGTAGTTATCTTTGCACTCTATTTAACTTATGATATCAATGAAAACCTGATCCTTGTTATATTTTTGTTGTGGCTAAGAGTCATAAGATTCCATTTGACACATCTGCATATGAATATTCTCATCCTTCGCATTTGGTTCACTCGGATTTATGGGTCATACTCCCATAAAATCTAGCAATGGTCACAACTACTATGTTTGTTTCATTGACCAATTTAGTAAATTCACTTGGGTGTATTTTGTGAAACAAAAATCAGAGGTACATAATATTTTTCTACACTTCAAAACCATGGTAGTGAAGCAATTCAATCAGTCACTCAAAATCTTTCAAAGTGACTGGGGATGAGAGTTTAGGTCATTAACTTCATATTTGCAACAAAATGGAATAGCTCACATGATTTCTTGTCCAAATAATCCTGAGCAAAATGGAGTAGCAGAAAGGAAGCATATATATCTAGTAAAAATGGGCCTGTTCAGTTTGTTTTCTAAAAAAAGATCCACATCCCACTCCAGCTTGTTTTCACCCTCTTCAGGAGAGAAAGTTTGGCACACAAGATCCACATCCCACTCCAACTTGTTTTCTAAAAAAAGATCACTCACCTTTCCAGTCCTCACCCTATCACTATCAAATTGAACACAAAGAATGAAGTCCTTGGCTGTAGGGAGCCAAGGAGAATTCCAGACATCTATTAACATCTTATCCACCACTTGATACCTCACCCCCAATTTCAGAGACTGTCTGGCATGCAACCAACTTTTCCAAAGCTAGGAATCGCTACCCTTAGCCTGAACCTCAAAAGTTTTTGATTCCATAAATATTTTCCTTTAAGAACTTTGCTAATCAACAAGTTAGGTTTGTATTAAGCCTCCATAGCTGTTTAACAAGTTGAGTTTCATTGAAAACCTTCACTCTTTGAACCCCATTCCTCTACTCTCTTTAAGTTTAGACAACAAACCCCACCCACACTAATGCCCTTTGTTTTTTCCATTCTCAGAAGACCCCCACCATAAATTAGCAATCTCTCTACCTATATTATTGCACACAGAGACGGGAAGTCTATAGATATACACTTTTTAGATATTTGGATTTTTTAATACATTTACATTGCGGGATAATTTAATCTATCCAAAATACATATTCATCTTAAAACCAACCCACCCCCTCACAAAACCTGATTTGGTTAAAATTGGGGAAACATACGAGAAGAAAGAATTCTGATTTGGAGGACATCCTCGACCAAAGGTTGCGAGAAGCTGTAAATTCAAGCACTTCCTCCACCAAAACAGGGCAAGATCCATTATTCAAACTTACAGTTGAAAAGTTTCATCGAGCAGGGAGCTCCATATTTCAAACTTGTGGTTGAGAAAGCTGGGCCAAAACCGGCCAAGATCCATAGTACTGTCGGACTCGAGAAGATCTCGTTATGTGCAAGTCATGAATCGAATAATATACAATAAACCTACGCACAACAGATGACAAAATTTCATTTTTGGTCCATTATTTTGGCCATTTTCCAAAAATGGTCCACTAATTTGGCAGCCATCAAACCTGATACAATAAGTTGTAAAATTCATCATTTTTGGTCCATAAGCATACGTGGCGTTTTATCGGACGAATACGTGGACAAGTTTGATGTCCGCCACGTAGGCTCATGTGTGATTAATGGACAAAAAATGATGAATTTTACAACTTATTGTATCAAATTTGATGTCCGCCAAATTAGTGGACCATTTCTGGAAAATGGCCAATATAATGGACCAAATATGAAATTTGGCCCACAACAGATATAGAGGTTTAAAGTTGAAAATTTACGTATTTAAAATTGCAGACTCAGAGAAGTTGTAGATTTTCACTGTTGGAGATCGTCCGAACTCTCCGAATCCGGGTAACCATATTTTTTTTCGTCGGACATCGAGAGACTACCAGTTCTTCATTATTTCCACAATGGAGAGTTGGGTTTGGTGGTGTGGTAGAAGCTGCCGGTTGTGTACATTTCAACTGGAAGGAAATGCTCTGAAAAAGCTGCAAATGCAGATGAAGCTCTTCTCAGAACTGTTAGATGGGGATTGACAGAGCTACAGAGGACTGGGGGTTTCAACTTCCATATGTTGCTGTGTTGATTCCTTTTCAACAGCAAGAGTAGTGAATCAGATGGAAGAGGCAGATGGTGTGGGGGTGACCACTGTAGATGATATAAAGAAGATAGTTGCATCCTTTGCTAGCTATTCTTTTTTGTTTGATAAGGTTGCTTGTTTTAGTTCTTCTTCTTTCACTTTTTTGTTCTATAAGTAACACAATTGAAACATAAAACTATTATTATATTATTATTTTCAAAAACATAACATAGTTTAACATACCATTAAATGGTATTTTAATCATTATATTTTTATCTTGTATTTATTCACATTATCAAATATATCTCACATTTTCCGTGGCTTCATATTTTCATCTCTTTTTTCGAAAATAAGTTTTTTTTTTTGGGGGTGATGCTACACAGCCACCCTCCATTACAACATGGTTTACAACCATGTGTAATGGAGGCATTAAAAAAAATGTGCATTCTTGCATTTTTTAATGCCTCCATTACAATATGGTTTACAACCATATTGTAATGGAGGGTGACAAATTAGCAAAATCCTTTTTTTTTTTAAAAAAAAAAAAATTAAATTAAATACAAAATTTCATTTTAAAATTGAGATGGTTAGTACAAATTTCTACATCCGTCCCCCACCGCCAGACTGCAACTTTACATTCGTGAATTTTGAACTATCCACCCTGCGTAGCTTAGGGAGGTTGAATATTGGGAATCATGGCGGAACCTGTGTCTGCAGCTGCTGCTCAGCCTAATGCTCCGGAAGAAGACGTCAACGCAAACGATGACCAAGCCATGGTTGATGCTCAAAACCCTACAGAGCCTTCGGACTCTGGATCCGAGTCCGACTCCGACTCTGAGGATGAAGTACAGGCCAAATCGCAGATTGAGGCGCTCGAAGCTGCGCTGAGAGATAATCCATCCGATTACGATTCACACGTCCAAGTAAATGATTTCTATACAAATTTCTTCACACGAACATACACACGTCTTCTATTGGTTGAGTCTGCTGAATCTATTTGGAGCTAACATAGTTAATCGAGTGTTTCAATGCTCGCTTGTTTGGTAGTACAATATATTACAGCAGAGCTAGTGATTGGCGACTGACTTACAAGCCTTAACTATCTTTATGTCTCTGCATAGTTAATTGAATGTTTCAGTGCTTGCTTGTTGCAGTACAACAGTGACCTTGTAAAATTTAAAATTTTCATTATGTACGTTTTGAAACTTATTGAGACTTTTATATACTTAAAAGTATAATTGTTACATTTGCATAAAATGTTTATGAACCTTGCATCATAACCAAAATAAAATTAAGCTGGTTTTTTTTAATGCTAAACGGAAATTTTGCAGCACTAAGAAGGAAATTTTGCAGCATTACGGTCGTGTAACTAAAAGAGGAATGAATAATTTCTAAAAAATTGTGAAACAACCATAAAATTGTTATTCGAACTGAGTTATTTGCGAACACAACTTGGTTATGCTCATGAAAACTCAAGCTCAACCTGTAGGTTCTCTTTTTTATTCCTCTTCTGAAGTTAAATATATGGCCTATTTTTTGAGGGCACACATTAATTGAAGTAACAAGTGATTTTGTTTGTTTATTGATTAGTTAATTTATTTTAGCATGTTAAAGACTTAAAGTGCAGTCTCCACCTTTTTGTGGCTGTGTGGTTTTCACTAAATCAACCATTTTCGATAAGGTTTTAGTTGAACTGAGGCTTTGAAAATTTATCTATTTATATTAAAGATGTTAGAAGTCAGTATTGTCGATGGGCAATGGTTTATGGCCTCATTGTCCTCCAATGCGTTTCATGTGAGAAATCATGTTCTTGGTTTCTGAGGTGTAGGCTTTTGACATGTGATTAATTAAACTTTCCGTAGTCAGGCAACTGGTTTAGTCTTTAGTATAGTTTGGTTTGTGTTTTCATTTTTTTCTTGTATTTATAGTAGAAAAATTTAGAACCATAGCCGAAGTCCGAACTTGAAAGATACTTGTCGTTTCCAATTCAGTCTCCATAGTCCATTCTTGGCTGCTCAACTTCCTTATTTCCTAGGCTGGTTTGATGTGGCTCTTTCCAACGTGGCATGTAGCTGGAGTACCTTGACTTCTAACTTCAAGAAGCAATTGCGCAATTGGGACGAAATGTTTAATCTTGAAAGTGAATGCTAAATGTAGGTCCCTGAGAAAACTGTAATTGCCTAGTATGGGATTTACTGGTGATGTTAATCTTCGAAGTGAATGATAAATATAGGTCCCTGAAAAGTGAAGGATAAATGTTTTCTGTACTCCTTGATTGATATCAGTGTCTTACACAGTTTGTTATTATTTGATGTATATGTTATTTTTTGCAGTTGATTTTGAGGAGAGTTTGAGTATATAGCATTTGTGGTGCTAGGGCAAGTTGCTTCGATGTATATTAATACGCTCGAATTATAATATTGGTCACTTACGTAGCATCTAAACTTGTTCCTTAATTGGAGAGCCACTTTCCTTGTTTTGTCCTTTTGAAAGTTTGAAGTTGTGGCTAACTTTGCAATTTTTGGCATTCTTCTTTTTGGTTTTTGTAGTATATTAAAATTCTGCGGAAGCAAGGTGAAATAGAGAAGCTGCGACAAGCAAGAGAAACAATGAAATCGTTATTTCCTTTGAGTCCCCAAATGTGGCAGGAATGGGCTAAAGATGAGACTACGCTGAGCTCTGGGTGTGTTTACTGTCTTGTTATTCGGCATGGTTCATATTACTTTTTTTTCTTGTTTTGTTATTTATGTTTCCTTGCTTGCATCTACCCTTCTTCACTCTGCAGAGTACTTAAAACATTTTCACCCGACATTTTCCCCCTATTTCGAGTTCATATATCTTATACCTCTTTTTCTAGTTCATAACTAATTCTTGTTCTGCAGAGTACTCAAAACATTTTCACCTGACATTTTTTCTCCCTAATTCGAGGTCATATATCCTATATCTCTTTTTGTAGTTCATAACTAATTCTTGTTCTGTAATATATCCCTAAGGCATGGGAACGTTTTTTCAGTCACCTGCTTAATCAAAGTTTTGGTTAATTTTTGAGTTTGCTGTTGGAGTATACTATATGCATTCACGAGTTCAAATTTTTGAACAATAATATTCCAACTATAGCATGTGACTGTCCTACTGCTTGTTCTGAACTACTTTTGCAAAAGTCCCTTTAGAAAATGGACGTATTTCAAATGGACTTCTCAAGAAGTCTCCTCCTATTCTCGAAAATGGACAAGTTATCAAGAAGTGCATTTCTACTTAATCACTGGACAATTATTAGTATGTCAAATGGACTTTTACCTCTAAAAGTCATCTTGAAATGTACTCCCAAACACGCACTTAGTAATAATGCGTAAAGGCATGTGGAAGAACATGCCCAAACGTTGCGTTCTTCATGCTGCCTTTTTGCTCAATCACCATCATACAGCAATTACTTTTCCTTGAATTTTGATCATGCATATAAATATTTCTTCAGGTGAACTGTTTGTTTTCACATATTTTGCTTTTAATTTGATAAAAGGTCTATTTTTATCTATCCTATTTTCTCATTTCTTTCTTTTGCAGAATGGAGGCATCTCCTGCTGTTGAAAAGCTGTATGAACAAGGGGTTTCCGATTATCTGGTTGATTCTTACACCTATTTGTCCAATAGCAGTAATTTCAAACTATCCATGATTTCTACCCTAATGTATGTTTTATAAACTCCTGCTTAAATCTTAGGCGATGTAGCGAGCTTCAGAGTGTAATTTTATAAAAATTATAAAGCTTGTTTTAGGTGGCAAAATCTTTTCCAATATTTCCTAGTAGGTTTTAGGTCAGTGCATTAAGGGCGTGACTGTGAGTGAGCCAACTTTTACTTGGAATTATCTCTCGTTTTCCGAAGTTCCCTTTTTGAGACCAAAAAGTCAGTGCCAGTGGAGATCACCTGATAAATATAAGGTTCAGAGCAGGAGTTTGCAGTTTTTGCTATGATGAGGTCTTTATCTTGTTTTCTATTACATTTGGCTATTACATAGTCAAAAGAAGTATATAAAGTAGTCTGTGTCATAGTCAAAAGAAGTACATAAAGTAGTACGTGTCATAGTCAAAAGAAATACATGGTACGGTTATCATTTAACTTCAAAAGTATGAATTACTTGTAGGGGAGCTAGAGCATGGAAAATTTCCATTGTCGAGTAAAAGTATTAGTATCCTCATCCTGCTAATTCAGTTGATTCGTAATATTGTGTTTTCATGCTAAAAATTGATATATATATATTTATTTGTGCAGTCTGTCCCCTTATGGTTTGACTATTTAAATTTTGTCCAAGAACATGATCCATCTGTCCGTGAATGTTCTGCCTCTGGCATATCAAAGGCAAGAAATCTCTTCGAGCGTGCTCTCACTGCCGCTGGGTTGCATGTTGCTGAAGGTCACAGAATTTGGGAATCCTACAGGGAATTTGAGCAAGCTATTCTTTTCACCATTGATGAGACCGACTCTGGGGTGAGAAAAATCTGATGCTTCCCTGCCTCCCACCCCCTGCCTTTTTAGTTTTTTCTACACATTTGATGTTTCTCCCTTATGTAATTGGGGGAAAAATTTTATATCATTGTGCAATAGTGTGGTTGTTATAGTTACTTCGTGGTGTTTTCCTCTCATATGCATGTAGTCTCTCACATGTTACTGATTGGCCCAAATTGATGATACTCGTGTTTGACAATGCAATGCGTCTCTCATTCCGCAATTATTGACTTTGATTTATATTATGGTTTAAGCATGGCCCACACTAAAAGTTAATCCTTTTCATCTGCTGGAAAAGGCCTCTCCACAAACATATGCCATGTCATCAGTTATTTCATATACTTATGGGTGATTGCTTAGCATTTTGACTTGGCTTCGCAGCCTGGACTCTGGTCAATCTTTTCTAAGCTTATTTATCATTAAGTTCCGAATTATCAGCTACAGTGATAATTGTAAATATAGTGTTAAGATTTGTATTCCACTATCTTATTCTAATAAATATACATGTATGCACTAAGTGCACACAGTAAAATGCGGTAAACATATTTATGAAAAAATGCCTACTGAGAAATGGGAAATAGACGAGTATGAATTGGAACTAGGTTTTTAGCACAACAACTTTGTATATCTTAGATCATGCTTTATTCAGGTGTTTGTTGGCAACATTGATGTCTTTGCAAATGATCCATGTGATTGATCAACAGAAGTCTTAGGATTGTGTAGACATGGAATGCAATTTTAGTTTCCTGCCACAAGATTTTCCATCTTTCTTTTACCCTTCATTTTTGTGAGTCAATCAAAAGCTATTGAAGTTGCTGTGCTCAAGCCCGACTTGTTTTGAACAGTTTGTTCTGAAGTATCTAAAACGCCACAGATATGAATATATAAAAATCAGGTGATACTCTCTTGTATGCAGCTAAAAGTTCAACATTCAGGGGGATTATATTGCCATCTGGAGATTGGTTCTTGAATCTTGTACAGTGTTATCAAATGGTGCCAATGGCAGGATGGCGTGGCGGATGTTTGACTATCCGCCATGCTAAATTTGTGAAGGACAGTGGTCATGGCGGCGCCATAGGCTGCCACGGCAGTCGCCATGGCAGATTTTTCGCCAACCGCCATTTACCGCCATCCACCATAAATAACACTGATCTTGTAGCCAAATCTTGATTCGCTAGTTGCAAACACGAGCTAGTCTGATCTCCTGACTTGTATACCTTCCATATGTCCTTAAGATATTATAAGCTGATCCGAAAATGAGTTAATCATAACCTAATGAGCTCGATCAATCTTAACTTCAGTGGTTTGCTATATAAAGAATTTCAGTTCCCAATGGTCTTCCTAGATAATGTGCTTGTGAGAGTTTGGTAAGTAAAAGTTAAAACAAGTGGATTGGCCTTTGGTTATAAGATTGGCGTGGGGTTGAGGTCTATAGTGGTGCCTCCATCTGTAACTCTGTGTCATTACCCATAAGACACACTTGCGCGCCCATTACCCAAGGTGTAGAAGGTTGATGTTGGTGATGATATACTGTAGTAAATAAAAAAGAAAACAAATAATTCTATCTAGTTCTTGATAAATTTTCCTTAACGCAGAACGAATTAAATTTTTCTCCTAAGAAGAGAGTATTCACATTGCTTGCTCTCTTGTTTCACCCTATGGATTGCCTTTTCTTTTCTGTGTTCCTTTTTTTTTTTTTTCCTTTCTTTTAAACGTCTCTTTCTTACAGACCACTAATGAACAGCAGGGAAGAGTGTGGCATGTAGTTTTCTAGGACCGTTTGTGCTGTTCTAGTAAATTGTCGTGCTTTTTGCTCCATTTCACTCCTAAAGGAGCTCAAACAAGAAAGAAAAGCAAGTAAAGTCGCTCTGAAAGAGCTCATTCAGGAGTTCAAAGAGGGATTTTAAAGCCCTTATCTCCCTTATCTCTATAGTCTAATCGCCCTTTAGGCTCTTCCTCTCTTATATCGAATGAGTTCCTCATTCTCTTTTTAACTCATCTTGGATTACAGATCGGTTTACAACCTTATCTTCATCCGCTAGCTCAGATAGGAAAGGTAGTTCGACCCCTACTATTGCTATCGCGGGGGTCTTGTCTTGGCTTGCAGCCGCTAACAACAAATAGGAGTCATGGCTTACAGCCGTAGGAGTCATGGCTTACAGCCGTGGAAAGGTTAACCCCGTACTGCATTCGTCATAGGATTCCTCATGCCGGGGTTGGTTTAGTCTTGGCTTTCAGCCGCTTAGCTACACTTGCAACTGCGTTCGGTGCCCCACTGCGGACGCAGACCCTAAAGGGTTGCTAAATGTCTGAGGTGGGTCCCCTCTCTA